TCAAAAGATTATCCTAGCATGAAAATCCATTTAAAGGCAAGACCTACAATACAGGCAAACTGTCAAATTTGTCTGGCCTTATAAGCTGACCTTGAAAGCTTCCTGTTTAGCCAAATAAGCTTGTGCTTAGTTTTTAAAGTGGTGCTGAAGAAATTACACTTTGATATTGTGTAGTTTATATTATTCTCTTATATAAAAACGGTCTAAATATTTAACTATACATATTTGACACAATTATTTTCATAGTGGCAGACAAATGCAATAAACTTTGCTATCTAAATTAATCTATCATAAAAAAGAGATGATAATGAATCCACAGTGCTGCAGGGAATATAGAAAGGTGATTATTACAATACCCATGTGCATTCCAGAGAGTATTAATAGAAAACCACACCTTCACCACTGGATCTCACATATGTGGAGTCGAACAGAGATTAATGTTCTGTCTAGTCCTATTCAACATATAGCTACTATGAACGTGGGTCACATGACATAGACTCAGGTGACAACAAGATAAAGATAGCAGGCAGTAACACTTTTCCTAGACTAGATTTGACCATAAAACAACGGATGCTTGGATGAAGTCAGTGCATGGATTTAAAAAAAAAGAGAAAGTAGCTGATTGAATCTGACCCCAAGCAAAAGAGGTAAGGACAGTGGACAGAAGGCTCTCTGAAGAGTTTGCAGCCATCGAGCAGTCTCATTTGGTTGGTGTCACTTGACATTTCAGGTTTTTGTTTAGGAGTTTACTTTGACTCCTTGCTGTTGCTAAGCTCTCACTTAGCATCAAGCATATGTAATGTTTTCTAACATCAGTTGTTGAAAAGGAGACACTCCCATCCTTGGAGAATGACAGCATGGGCTTGGCAGTACATATACTTGTCATCTCCTGCCTAGACTACAGCAGTGCAGTTTATCTGGGCACAAGACAATCAGCCCTTTAGGAAAACCTTACCAGTACGTAACTATGCAGTACATTTCATCAATGTAGATTTATTTGAATGCATCAAACCTGTCGTCCACACTCCAGAATCATTATCGATGGAATGCTGAAACAAATTCAAGGTTTCAGCCCTTGTCTTCAAGTCTAAAGACCTGGGCCAAGCATCTCTTCAGAATCACACTCCCTTGAGTTTATTGATACATACCACACTCACACAGCAATATTACCCTCCACTTTAAGACAGTACCCGAGGACTGGGCAAGGCAGCATAAAATTGAAGAGGGGCAGATGTGTTTAAAACCACTGTCTACTCAGGTACAATAGACCTTTCTGTCATAACCGGAAAGCCTGTCTGTGCAAGAGATGAACCTTTCTCCAGGGCTGGTCTGAGACTGTTGAATGAACCCACATGGAAACTAAAGGTCATTACAGATTTCCCCTACCTCTCACTCCAAATGTGAAGTTACTTCCTTTGGCCTTGCCTTCCCCAGCATAAGTGCACAGAAGCATACATTTTAGAAAAGTAACATCACTCTACCAACACACATCCTAAAAAAGCACATAAAATTCTTCCTCCTGGGGAAAGGATGGGGGAGGGGGTAGAATATGCTTCATAAGATAAATGTGAGTCACGCCACTGAACACACTACTGGTAAGTACCCAGAAACTATGGGGAGAAGGCCACAAAAACTGTTATACAGAACTGAAATCAAAATGTAGACGTGGAAATCTTGGTTCCTTTTTTTCAAATATATTTTTATATGTTAAGAATTAGGTGTTAGAGCTAGCACAGAGGATAAGGGTGGAAGGCTAAACAAAAGATAGGAGAGAGGAAAAGAAAAGGCTACAGGGGACAAAGAGGGAGAAAGGATGTTCAAGACATAAGGGGAGATATGAAAAAGGTAGAGAGTCATTGTTAGGAGACAACCCAGGGAACCTTAAGGTGAACTGAAACAGAGCATACAGAGTAAGAGGAAGCCCAGCACACTCCATGTGAACACACAGAAGTCTCAGAACTAGACAAGACCTCTGCACTCACCCAGAGTAAGTAAACCTTTACCCAGATTTGACATAAGCATTCAGTGTTCGCCAAGTATAGAATGGTATCAGTGTTGTTTTATTAGCAGTCCAAAAACTGACTAGCTCTCATTTTTCAAGGCTTCTAACAGCAGCCCCCACAGTGATAACTAGAAACCTTGAAGATGAGAGGAGCGAGTCAGTTTTGAGGCTGCTAATACCACAGCACTAACAGTGCTGTACTGAACCAGCATTACTTACAGCACTGTAGGTATTGCTGTGGTATTAGCACCCCCAAAATTTACTAACATCCTACATTTTCAAAGCTTCTAATAGTCACTGTCAGGGATGCTTTAGAAGCTTTAAAAATGAGAGGAGCAGCTGTAAAAATGACTAGCTCCTGCCCTTTTCAAGGCTTCGAATAGCAGCACTTTGACAGGTGTCTCCCCTTCACTGTTTCTGAAGCAGTTGAGTACAATTAAGTTATAAAGTAGACTGGGGTTGAAACATCCTATACATTCTACTTTTTTATTAAGGTATGAATATGAAGACAGCCAGAGTCTGTTACAATGTATGCAGTAGGGAACAAATTGATACTGGCATAGTGTTATGCATCTAAGTGAATATGCACTTATCAGATATGCAGATGAATGGTATACAGTGTTCTGGGAAATTACTACTGGGTTATAAGTAGAAGCCAAGCCTTGCACAGTCTTGAAACTAATAGAGGATTTGGGCAAGTAGAGGTCACAAAACTGCAAGTGAAGAAAAGGGTTCTTACGACAGTGTGTTGGACAGATTTTAAGACTAAATGCGAGATTCAGGGAAGTCAGAAATGAGAACCCTCTAGTAGTGAAAGCAAAAGATGACAAGAGTATGGAACTGAGGTGCTGAGAATAGGAAAGAAGGACAGATTTTAAAGATAGCACAGAGCTGAAGAACTGGAAGGATTAATCAACTGCTTAGATCTCAGGAGAGAAAGGAAGACAGAGAAGAGCTGAATATGGCATGAAGGTTGCAAGCCAAAGCCTGAGTCAAGTTAAAATATGTCTGGATATCCAGAAAGAGATGTCAAAGGGATAGTCACAAAACAAGAGCAGAATATAGGGGCAGATCAGAAGTAAAGAGGGTGGTCATGAAGACTGTATTTTCATTGTTCAAATGACAATGAGAGTATTACAAGGAAAAGCATGTAGAGAGAAGGGAAGACAGGTCACTGTGAGAAATATTTAAAAAAGCAATCAGAGACTGGAAAGTTAAACCAACAGAGAACCAGAAAAATGCAAATGCAAGTCAAGGAAGGAAAGCAAACCATATGAAGGAAGCTAGCCTATCAAGAAAAATAAGTACAATGTAGACAAGAAAAATAAGTTATGAAGAAACCCAAATATTTTCTCCAATATAAATGCTGGACTGCACATCCCATCATGAAGACAGACAGGATGTAACATCCTCTTTTGATGAGAGAAGTCTCAGGAAAGTGGAATAGGTTAGAAATGACCAAGCTGAGGGTGGAAGAGGGACCATGAGGAGAGAAAGTTGAGGCCCTGGTAACAGATAATATATTCAAGAAGTTTGGTTGGGAAAAAGTAGAAGTATACTCAGTAGTAATTAAAGAGGCTAAAAGAATGAAGGAAGATTATCAGGATAGCAAGTGCAACTCCATGTTCTTAAAGGCAGAGGAAATAGAGAATATTACGGGGAGCTATTGAAATCAATAGGGGATAGTGTCAAGAGCACATTTAGATATAAGGCAAATTAAAATCATATAGGTTACTGAAAACTGAACAGGTGCATGATACTAAATTGACCATGGAAATGTAGAACCTATCTTACTAGAGAATAATAAAAGAGCTTAGAAATTGCTTAACCTAATGAAGTAGATGCTGAGACGGAATATAACCTCTGTCCCTAAACGCATCAGGGTAGTCCATAAGGGATAGAGAAGAGGTACTAAAGCTAAAGGACAAAACTGGCAAAGCAACAAATCAGCATAAACTGGCCACAAATGAATCTAAAAGCTGAAATCTGGTTAATAGCCATCACCAAAATAAAGTTCTATATCAGCCTTCCTATAGGAGTAGTGAGGACAATGAGGACTGTGATCACATTCTTGCTCTGTCAGCTCTTTTATCAGACTGCTTGTAGAAACATGAAACTGACTGCCAATATCACTTCAAGTCAGCTAACAATGTTGTTTGTACCTCTGCAAAACTGCTGCTGTGTAATAGTTAGAAGTTGCTTTCTGTTACTTAGGCAGTTTCTTTTCTACTACAGCACTGATTAAGAAAATAATTCCAGAGTGGCAGGAAAACTCAAAGCCCTCTTTAGACTCAACTATGAGATGCTGATAAATTTAATTACTTATGCAATCTCAGTTTTACACACTAAAAGGTTACAGGAGTTGAGTACAAACAGAAATTCAAGATATTCAGGCAACTCTCTCTGAATAAGGGCTGTTTACACACGTGGAAAAAAATCCCAACAAAACAAAACAGGGCTTTACTGTCAGGTGGGTGCACCTCCACACCAAGCACAGTGCACACCCAAAAGAGGCATCACATCAGTTTTGACATGGCTCGCCCAACGTCTGTATAGATCACATGCTTCAGTGGGGCTTTTTGGCACTTTTATCTAACAGCTGATTCAATCAGCTATTAGTTAAAAGTGCCAAAAAGCCCAGCGGGATCTATACAGATGTTGGACAAGCTGGGTCAAACTGATGTGAAGCCTCTTCCAGTAAGCACTGTTTTGTTTTTCAGGTCTGTCAGTGGCCAAAAACAGTATATTTACACTTCCTAAAACCACATAGTGCCCAAAACACTAAAGTCTTGTAAATGCTTGACCTTCTGTCAGCAGAACATGAATGGACAAAAAAATGTACCAAAATAATAGCGGTGAGCATTTTCTAACACAATTCCAAACTTCTACAGTTAAAACCATGAAATGACAAAGTTGAAAGGGTATGAACTAAGTAATCTAACAGAACTTTTCAATCCCTAGTTTCTATAAATAAATACCAATAGTTGGAGTACATTACCTTCATTCTCAGATGTCTGGCATTTTACCTTTACTACTAAATCAAAGGTACGTTCTGGATTTTCCCTAGAAGTAAAAAGATAAGTTGGTTGATTAGCCACAGCAAGCAAACTAAATGAACTAATACAGATTGTCAAGCATTCTTTACGATGTAATATAGTTTGCATGCCACTTGACATGATCATCACTCTTAATTATTTCATTCATGTGATTTCTGAATTTTTACAAGACTTCTACATCTTCCTAAACAGCCTGTAAGAAAGTGAGCTTTATTCTCTCAAAAAAAAATCCTGATCACAGCACACATGAAATATACAAGAAATGATGACCCATGTCTGACAGCCTTTCAGTCACTTCACTATAACACTTTACAGAATGTATATGTTGAAGAATAACTTTAAAAGCAAGAAGAGTCTGCTTTACAAAACTGGCCTTTACTACTGAAAGTAGGGCTTTTAATATATTGGTTTCAAACTTAGTTTTAATAGTTTGATTTGGGCCTCTTGGCCTTTTCCTCTTTAAAATTTTTAAAAACTTTTAGTTTTAGAATGTGATGAGAGTAGTCCCATCATATTCTAAGTTTATCATCATGAGTTAGCCATAAGCCTATCTATCTTCTTAATATGTTTGGTGATCAACTTAAGAGTTGACAGTCACTTAGCATGTTCCTTCAGAAGCAATTCCATTTACAGTCAACTAAATCCAGCACACAATTCAACCAGTAGGAAAATATGAACGCAATAACTCATCTTCTAATTGCCTCCTAAAAATTAAGTGTTTGTTAGAAAAGAATACCATTAAATATATTCCATTACGATACAACATCTATTGTCCATGAATAAGCATTTACATTTCAGTCATATGACCAGACCTGGGCAGGCCTACCCCAGCGGCTCCAACAGCCAGGAGTAATCCAGACGCACAGAGCTGCCTGGCCCCAGAGGGGAACTCTTCCCCCTCCTCCCTCTCCCCCACCACCAAGGGACTGGGAGCAGTGCTGGGGTGTTCTTCTCCCTCCTTCTCCACTCCCTGCGGTTCGAGTGGGGCTCTGTGAGGCTGCCTGGCCCCAGAGGGGGCTCTTCTCCCTACTTCTCCCCTATTGCAGCAGGGTGGGGAGGAGTGGCTCTATGTGACGCTGCCCAGCACCAGAAGGGGACTCTTCCCCCTACTCTCCCCCATCCCAGGCCAGGGGGAGGCTCTGTTCCATGCTGGAGGGAACTCTTCCCCCTCCACCTCCTCCCCCCAGAGAGGTAGCAGGTGGATGGAGCTAAGCTGGGCAGGGTGTGGGTATGTGAGGGAGGGTGTAGGGACCCCCACACACTCCCCACCCTCTCCCATGGTGCCTGGCAGCAGCAGCAGGCAGGGGGGTCAGGACGCTTGTGCCCGGCATGGACGTGACTCTGGCCAGCACTGCGCTGGAGAAGGGAGTGGAACCTGCTCTGCTCCCTGAGCCTGCAGCTCCAAACCCGCACTGGACCCAACTGCTTGTCCCACTCTCCGCTGTGCAGGTCCCAGCACTCTGGTGGGAGTGGAGGGAGCCTGTCCCCTGGTTTTCCGCAGAATTCAGCGTAGGGCTTCCCTGTGCAAGCATGGAGCTTCAGGCACAGCCTGGAGCCTCAGGGATAGAAGCGGCCAGACGTGCTACGCAGGGCCGTGCTCCTTACCCCCAGCGCAGCAAAGCACTGGCTGCCTCTATCCCCCACAGTTCCACACTCATACAGGGAAGCCCTGAACTGGACTCTGGGGAAAGCAGGGGGTGGGGCTCCCTCCACTCCCGGCAGAGTGCTGGGACCTGCACAGCAGGGAGTAGGGGAAGCAACTGGCTCAGGTTCTGGGAGCAGAGTCGTGGGAATAAGGGAGGCTCTGCTCCCTCCCCTAGAGCAGTGCAGTGCTGCCTGGAGCCTCACCTGGACCAGGCATGAGTACCCTGACCTCCCCACCTGCTGCCAGGCCCTACACCCCCAACCTTCCCTCACATACTGACACCCTGCCCAGCAAGCTCTGTGCTCTGGCTGCCCCTCTGGGAGGAGAAGAAGGGGGAATAGTTCCCCCCAGCATGAAACAGAACCTCCCGCTAGCCCCCACCCCCACTCTGGGGCCAGGCAGCATTGCATGGAGCCCTCCCATTCCAACCCGGCAGCAGGGGGGAAGGGGAGAAGGAGGAAGAGTTCCCATCCAGCACCTCACAGAGTACCCCTTCCCACCCTGGCAGGTGGAGGAGAGGTAAGAGTCCCCCCAACACACAACAGAGCCCCCCTCCCCCTCCCCCTCCCAACCCTGTGGGACAACTAGCCCAGCATGGCCCCATTAAGGTGAAGGGGCAGGGAGAGGGGTTAATTCCTCCCTCCGCCCCTTCCCTGCAGGCAGGGTCTGCCTGTTCCAGGGGCCACTACTGCAGCCCCGTCCCCTCTGCTCCCCAGCAGACAGGGTGACCCTGGTTGCAGTGGGAGAAGAAGAGAAGGAGGGAAGAATTACCCCCTCCCTGCCCATTCTGCCTTAATGGAGCCAAGCCGGCCAGCGTCTGCTACAGCCAGTCCCTGCTCAGCTAGAGAGCAGAGGGGCGGGGCCAGCCCTGCAGGTGGAGCAGAGCACTGTCTAGCCCAGAGAGCATGAAACCAGACATTTCATAAACCTGTTTGAGACAAATCAGTTAAGTCTGGTACTACATTCAACCAGGCGTATCTCAAACCGGTTTCGGCCATTTTCAAACTGGTTTATATGTACTGAATGTCTGTTTTGTTACAGATTTAAACCAGTTGCTGATCACTTAAACTTGTTTATGTGTAATGTCAGTCCCTAGCCTTAGAGATTGGGTTCCAGAGTTCAAGAGTGTTGCATATAAAACACATTGTGGATGGTGGTTTAATTTTTTTTTTTTAATTTTAGAAGCATTCTGAACTGAAAGGGAAACTTTCAACTATCATAAGTTATTCAATTATTTTTTCATAACTTCTTTTGCCTTCACTGACTATTAGGCATTATCATTTACGAAAATATGGAATGATACTAAGACTCAGGTCTTATAGGGAAGTATAACCATCACATGTCCCTCCCACATCACATCACTTTGCAGAACTTTTTAAGGCTGGTCCTATGCACACTTGGGAGCCAAATTCTGATCTCAGTTATGCCAATATAAACCCAGGGTACTAACAGTTTACACAGGTGTTAATGATACAGAATTTACTCTAGCAAAATCAAAATGAAACTGAAGAGAGTCAAGCTCTTTGCACTGAAGGAAAGAGTGGACTATGTGAATCCACCCTGTAGTGAGAAAAATGTCACCACCTCCCTGCCATGAAAGGACTTAATACAATTCTAGCCAAGGTGCTGGTTTAGTCTCTTGGCTCAATTTCCCTGTCCACTTGTTTCTAAGAGACAGGCATTACACTGTATTTAATTTATTAATTTCCCTTGAAACAATATGAAAAATTCAGGATTAGGACTTTACAGTTCCACTTTTTAACTGAACTTACACTCAAAAAGGAAGCTCTTGAAAATATAATCCACTCCCTTCAGTATAGTGCCGTAAAGTCTGTATTTGCACAAAAGTCGGTCTCAATTTACCCTTCACAAACTCATCTACTCTCATAACTGTCAGACTGTCTATCACAACTCCTAAACAGCAGCATACTTACTCAGAGTAAATATGAGAGATTTAGCCTCCTATCATGACACTCTGATTAAGAAAGTCCATAAAAGTATTCAAAGGCCTGTTTTTACAGAATCAGAGACAAAATGTAGTCATGCTATTTTATAACTTAGTTTTAGCTAGGTGTATAACCATTTACTTGGCACTTCAAAATAGCTGCATATCAATTAGTAACTGTAAACCACTACAAACAACTAACTTCACTGAAATGATTTTATCAACATTCACAACCAGGATAACACTTGTATTTTCTCTAGGGTAGCTATATGCTCTTAAGTTCTTGAAAGATGATTCTCTTCAACAGTATAAAAATGTTGTTAGATTCAGACGAATGTTGATCAACAACCACCCTATTGATTCACTATATTTTATGCGGTATTTGTACAGTGCTCCCTCAGAACCAGAGCTAACTTTGCCTGTACATTTCACAGGTGCAGCAACCAGGGCAAACAATTCCATTACTGAAAAATGGCCCTGTTTATTTGCAGAAGCTACGGAGAGACAACAAGCAGAAAACTCTGCATGCAAAAAATTATGAGAGTTGTTGCTTTCCTAAACTGGCTGGCAGGGCTCCGGGGATTACAATAATTATGGTAGGGGCCTAGGCCCCTAGCACATTACTAAAACTTCTAGTTTCTTTTTAACTGTATTATGGGGGGAGCTTGGGGAGTCTGAACCCCCCCATAAAAGATAACAGCCCCCCTGTAAAATTTGAAAATCATAACCTGGGGGGGGGGGGGGGGATCTCTGATTCCATTAGGGCAGAGTGCCAGAAACACCCGCAACCTCAACCTGCAAGATGTTCACATGCCAGGGGCGAATGGTGGGGAAGCCACAAAGGGCCCGATCCTTGTTGTGATAGTGCAGCCCTGGCCCCTTCCCTGCCATCCGCCCTGAGGCACGTGTGCCAACCAAAATGCCTTTGAGTGCCACACTGGCACACATACCTACCCCTGCATTAGGGCATGGTGATGGGCAGCCCAATTTTTTTTTTTTTTGCAGACCCCCCCCACCCCTCCCAAGAGTCAAGGCGTAATTCGAACCCTGCAGGTAGATAATCCAGGTACATGGGTGACTGGTGCCTCCAAAGTCTGAACGGGCACCCACAGAAGCCGGTGGCAGCAGCAGGGACAGTGATGGCGAGCACCCGCAGAAGCCAGGGTTGGCGTTGGTGCTGGGAACCGGTGAGCACCCACAGAAGCCGGCAGGGGCAGCAGTAGCGGAGACAGCCTTGTCACGGGGCGCACGTGCCCCCGCTACCAGTCGCCTATGTCCAGGTAGAGGGACCTGCTGCTGGTCGGAGCACCAAGGCAGGTTTGCTCTGGTTCTGACAAAGCAGAAAGTTTTTTGGGGGGGTGTCTGGCACCCCCAGGAGACCTGCGGTCCGCAAGGAGCGGGGTGCTGAGGGGCAGAAACCACCCCCTGGCGATGCCCCCTCTTGCCAGGCAGGT